GTACCAAAAAAAAAAAAAGAAAAAAGAAAGATCATAGAATCGATTCAGGACATTGAGGCAGCCACAACAGCACAACTAAAGACACATTATAGCACCCCTTGGAAAATTAAGACCCTATTGAGTCCACATGAAGGACCAACAGACTGCAGATATGACCCTACATCTGTCAGAGACTGTGCTGGGTGTATTTTCGGGGTTTTTTTGGATTTTGTTTCCTCAGTACCAGGGATCGAACTCAGGACCTTGAGCTTCTGAAGCAGGCAAGGTGCCACTGAGCTAAATCCCCAGCCACCTGGGTGTATTTTTCATATCTGGAGTCATGTGAACATCCTTTAGAGTCTTAGATCAGGGTTGGTAATTTTTTTTTTCTGTTACCGAGGATCAAACTCAGGACCTTGGCCTTGCAAGACAGGTGCAGTGCCACTGAGCTAAATCCCCAGCCCAGTACATTTTTTCCTGAAAGGCTGCAGAGTACATATTTTAGTTTCAATGGGCCACGTGGCCTGGGTTTTAACTGCTCAATTCTCCCCTTGCCACAGCTGTAGAGAATTCCTAAAAAGGTATGAATTCCTAAATAGGTATGGCTGGGCTCTAGTGACACTTAACCAGGTATGGGCTGGACAGAGCCTGGGGCCATAGTATACAGGCCTGTGTTTTCAAATCTTCTTCCTCGGAGAAGCTGCTGCTCATAGCAGCTGAGCCAAGTTCCCCACATGACACCTCTTAGCTATGTCATCCGCACACACAGGCAAGATCATCATGCATCCTGGGGACCAGTGTTGTGACATACAGGTCACAAAATGACAGACACTGAAAGATTCCACCTCTATGAGGAACTTAGATTCACAGACAGAAAGTGGAACGGTGGTTGCCAGATCACCGAAAATGTAGGTAAAATTCAACATTGTTACAGGAAAGTGTTGATTCACATAAAGCAGAATCTAGAACTATTCCGAAGAGGAAATGGTCTCGTGAAAGGCATTTCCTCCTGGTGTGTGCACTTACCAAGTTCAAATCCAGACAGCGTCACACACACTCACTGACCTTATCTTCAGCAGCCCCATGGTTACAGATAGGGAAAACAAAAGCACAGAGAGGTGAAGTCATTTGCCCACTGTCACACAGCTGGAGTGAGGAGATCGGATCCCACTCTGTCACATTTAAGGAAGGGACAGGACGGGCAGAAAGGCTGCCTCCATTTCAAAAGCCAGATCAGCAGATGCTGACCTGCAATATTCCTTTCCCTCATTTCAAAGGTAAAAATGAGCCTTAATATAAATATTCAAAGGTAATGAACTTGTAGTTAACATTTTCTGGCCACGGAATAAAAGCAACAGCCAGCATTGGAGGCTACAGGCAAGGCAGGGAATTGGGTGCAAAGAAACCTGGTTGAGTCACCTTCTTCCTCACTTAATGGTGACCTCTAGGAACCTGACGAGGTGCTCTGGGCTCTGAGCCCCTCTTTGAATTAAGGAAGAGAAATATTGTTCTTTCCTGAGCTAACGTCACAGGCAGATGATGGCAAGGCACGTGGCAGTCCTCAGGAGCAGAAGGCTCCTGCAGAGAAGCTTACAAACCCATTTCCTCCAAGGAAAACAATAGAGCCATGGTTCAGAGCGGGCCCCATGGACAGGAGGGGGATGCCTAGCATTACCTGCTTGGGAAAAAAAATTCAATCATGTTTCCTCAAATTTCTCTCCCAGAGCAGAAATAATTACCTCTTTAAATATAATGCCCATGGTACAGACACAAATATGTTTGCAATCCCTCCCCTCCATTGAAAATGGCAAAGATACTTGAGGTCATAAAAGGATAAGAAGTTTTGAAGAGGTTACTATGAAGCGTGTCAATGTACAGCCTGTGTAAAGTTTCCCTCGGAGTCAAGCAAACATTATTATGTAGGCCATGGAATTCTAGAAGCAGAAGAAACCCTAAGGGTACCACCCTCTGTGGAGGTGGGTGGCTGCTCCCCTGTTCCCACAGGCCAGGGAGTGGCTCAGGCAGGGCAAGAAGAAACGAGCGGCCTCAGGTTCCAGGTGCCGGCCCGTGTACCTAAGAGCAGGGTTTTCAACTTCGAGGACTCTGCAGCCACAGGGGGAGCGTGGACTACAACATGGGAGGGGGGCTACGGGCCTCTATCTAGTGGGTAGAGGCCAGGGATGCTGAATAACATCTACACCAGGGGCTGGGACGTAGCTCAGAGGTACAGTACTTGCCTAGCAGGCACCAGGCTCTGAGTTGGATCTCCAGCACTGCCAACATAAAATATTCTACCATGCATAGGACGGTCCCCACCCCAAGGAAGTCCCCGGCCTGAACATCCATTCTGCTGCAGTGGGAACCCCTACAGGGCGCAAAAGGGCAGGCAGTACACTCACCCCAGGAGGCACAGGCTCCCGCAGGACAGCCAGGTGAGGGCACCAGCACTGTAGGACAGCCTAGTCACGATCATCTTGTTGCAGGAAGGACAGCACATCTGGATGGGGCGGTCAAAAAAGGACACGGGCTGCTGCACGAAGACTGTCTGTACTGCTGGGAAAAGGAAAGACAAATGCTGCTCCGTAAACAAAGAAGAGGAGTTCCGTAAGCCACAAAAAAGTGGGAACAGGGCCTCCAAAAGCCATTCCCAGCAGCGCTAGGCCAGGCATGACGATACCACACACCCGTAACCTCCAGCATGCTGGGAGGCTGAGGCAAGAGAACTGCAAGTTCAGCCCAGCCTAGGCAACTTAATGAGGCCCTGTCTGGAAATAAAAAACCAAGGCTGGAGATGCAGCTCAGTGCAAAGGCCCTGGGTTCAATCCCCAGTACAGAAAAGAAAACCACACCACTGTTCATGACACCCAAGTGACCACCCACAAACAAATGGAGAAATAAAATGTGATCTGTGCACACAATGAAGCATTATTCAGCCTTAAAGAGGAAGGAAACCCCCATACCAGCTACAATGTGGACGAACCTTGAGGACATCACACTAATCGAAATGAGCCAGTCACAGAAAGACAGGCATTGTCTGACCCACTCAGAGGTCCCTGGAGGAATCACAAGCAGATACTGAATGGCGGAAGCCAGGGTCTGTGGGGGAAGAGGACTGGGAGTTGCTGCTGTCCGGGGACAATGTTTCTCTTTGGGGAGGCGGACAGTCCTGGAGGTGAACTGTGACAATGCTAGACCAAAACACGAATGCACGTAAGGCCACTGAGCTGTACTCGCAAATGGCAAAACGGGGCCAGGATTTAGCTCAGTGGTTCCGCCGCCTGCCTCGAAAGCGCAAGGTCCCGAGTTTGATCCCAGATACAAAAAAACCCCCAAACAAATGGCAAAACGGTGCGCTTTGTTACATATTTTACCACAATAAAAACTGAAAAATACAGAAAATGGAAGAAGAGGAAACAACAGCAGATTTGTAAAATTTTCACTTGAGGAGTGTTCAAAACCTCCACGCAGGAGATGGGGGAAGGCTGGTTGTGCCTCGAGTTGCAGATTCCACATCACAGGACCCTGGGGCTGCCCTGCAGCTCTGAGTCAGCACGTCCGGACCGGGCTCCCCAGATTGCCTTTCAGGCCCCTGGAGAGGTTCCACTGAGGTGGTCCATGGATAATAAATACAGGAACAGTGGAGGGGTGGGTTTCAGCCCCAATTTCTGCAGCCACAGATTAGTGGTTGCCGGGAGGAGGAAGGGGGGCTGGTCAGGGGTCTGCAGCTTCAACATTCAGGCATAGCCGACACCAATGACCTGAGCACTAGAGAAGACAGCTTCAGGGTGTGTGAATAACATCTCCATTAAGCTCTTCTTAAAACTTCCGGAGTTAACAGAGTTGCTGGGAAGACCCGGCTATAAGGGCTGTCGGGAGCCTTACACTTACCGTGGTGTACACCACAATCAGCAGTCCCCTTGTGTCACACAGCCTCCTGTAGGGACTGCAGGGCCCCCTGACGAGGGCAGAGTTTACGAGGCAGGAGAGGCACACCCAGCCCTGGCAGACAACGCTTTGAAACCGTGTCTGTACACACAGTGAGTACAAACTAACGCTAGGAGGAGGAGGGTATGTTGCAAGAAGGTACGGGCGCCACGATCGGAGGACAATTTCCAGGGGTGAAAATCATCAAGCATTCAAGTTGCTTATGCTCATATGTCTGTCAAAGTGACCCTTCCGCTCCCTTTTGTTATGTAGTTAGAATGAAATTCATGTAGCCTATATGTTGGGGGGAATGCACCACTGCCCAGAGCTACTGAGCTTAGTAACACCCACAGAAACACTCTTCCCAGAAAAGCAGTGCTGAAGCACACTTGGGCACTAACATGTAAGCTGCAGTAAGGATTTTCTGGCTCAAGAATAAGTTATTTGGGGCTAGAGATGTAGCTCAGTGGCACAGTGCCTGCCTGGCAAGCATAAGGTCCTGAGTTCGATCTCTGGTGCCAACAAATAAACAAACAAATAAATGAAGTCTAAAGCTATTTTCTCATCTTCCTCCAAACTTCAAGGGGTCCAGCTGAGCCCAGCCACCATCATGTTTCCTTTTATTGAGTGCTGGCTCTGTCTATGCTTGGCATAGGGAACAGTATCTCATTTGAACAACTCAAGGAAGCAGGTACCGGCTGAGTCCTATTTCACAGACAGGGAAACTGAGGCACAGGAGCTTATGTGAACAGATTCATGGGCTTCTTCTCTCAGCTGCTGAAGATTCCCTCCTGAAGGCTGGGGTACTGACCAGGCCACACACCTGAGCTGCAGGCAGCACCAAGGAAGTAAGACCGTGGAGGTTTTTGTATACCTGTTCCTCCGGTTCCCCCTAAACCTGGGGCTGGGGTTCTCCGTGAAACCTCAGTAGAAGCAGGGCCCTTCATACACAAGCTCCCACTCCCCATTTCCCCTAGGACAGTTGGTTGTGCCAAATGTGACTAGGTTGGGCATAGGAAAGACCCTAAACCATTTTTCCCATCCCTTTTGTTTTTATTTTGAGACAGGGTCTCCATAAGGTGCCCAAGCAGGACTCAAATTTGTGATTCTTCTGTCTCAGCCTCCCAAAGTGCAGGGATTACAGTCGTGTACAACCACACCTCACTCTAAACCATTATTTTATTATGGAAAAACCGTGGGCCTCACCAGAGTGAAATCTAAGGCTCTGAAATTTCAAGGTGAGGGCTGAGGTGGCCCCGCCCACACTCTGGTCACCCCTGACTCTTGAGTTCTCAGGCCAGGGCGGAGGATAAGGGTGGGTGGGGTGGGAGGAGAGGCCTCACTTACTTGTGTTGGCACTGGGGTTGAGGACGGGCATTGGTTGGGTGTAATACAAAGGAGGGTTCACGCCTTTCCCATCCGGGCCTGTCATGAGCCCCGTGGTCGGTCCCGGCCCCGGGGCTGGAGGCGTCGGCATGTAATTGGTAACTCTCACCGTCTCTTCATAGGATGGGGGCGCAGTGGGCACCGAGGAAGGCCCGGGAGCCGCCTGGTAAGGTCCTGGAACCGACATTTTACCTACGGCAAAAACAGAAGACACCAGGTAAGACATTCAACCGATCTCCCCACCTCTAACCTTTCATGTCCTTTCTGAGGAAAGGACAGGTCCAGCCTATCTGAATGTCAGAGGGGCGGAAATGTCCCTTCCAGACCCAAGAATCCTCATTTTAACAGAAGCTTCCTTTTTTTTTTTCTTGTACCAGGGATCGAACTCCGGACCTTGCACTTACGAGGCAGGTGCCGGAACCACTGAGCTAAATGTCCGGCCCAACAGAAGCTTTCTTAAGTAAAGATAAAAAGTAAGTAAATAGGCCCCCAGATCACCCAAACCTAGAAAACTCCCAAGAGAGACATCAACTAAATTTGAGCAGTTTCTTCTTCAGACCCCAAACCCAGACCCGACAGAAATGTTCTTTCCCCAGTCGAGCACTTCTCTTTTAATCCAGTGCGGTTTTCACTCATCATACCGGGGCATGGAAATGATAAAGGCATTCAAAAACCAACCACAAGTTATGGAGAATAAAGTGCTGAGCAATAGCAGCCAGGACACGTGACAGGGAGCTCAGGAACAGAGCGACAAGTGCTGGGCCGAGACATGGGGAGAGGGCGGCTTGGGGCGCAGGAGGAAGGCAAGTCTGGGAGGGGTCTGAAGGGCCTCTCCCGGGGTCTTCAGCCTGGGGGCTGATCACATTGGTTTGTTCACTTTATGAAAATTCGAGTGGTGCTGTTAAGATGTGTGCCCCTTTTTGTCATGTATGCTATAGTTTTTAAGAGTCAACACAGAGCCAGGTGTGGCGGCAAACACCTGTGATCCCAGCTACCCAGGAGGCTGAGGCATGAGGATCGAAAGTTCAAGCCCAACCTGGGCAACTTAACGAGACGCTGTCTCAAGATGAAAAATTAACAAGGGCTGGGGATATAACTCAGTAGTAGAGCACTTGCCGATCATGTGTGAGGCCCTGGGTTCCATAGCCAATACCTCAAAAGGGAAAAAAAGGGAAGCGGGCCAGGGATTTAGCTCAGTGGTTCCACCGCCTGCCTCGCAAGCGCAAGGTCCCAGAGTTCAATCCCTGGTACCAAGAAAAAAAAACAAAAAAAACCAGGAAGCAGATAGATCCACACTCATTCTCATCTGGAAAAGCGAGTCAGAGTCCAAGAGCACCTGGGCACACATTTCTTCTGTGAGGGCAAAAAAGTGGTTTTCCTCCCTGGCACAGCCCCTGCCTGCCTAGAATTACAGCCCGAGACCCAGCTGTGTTCCTGCCTGATGCTGGCACGCAGTGGCCACTGGGCAGCTGGAGAGGACACAGTGGCGTCCTTTGTGTGCTGCGTCTCCTGCTGCGACAGGAGGGAGAACCAGGAAACGAGGGCCGGGGCAGTGTGCTGCTGGGAGAGGCTGGGACGGGTTGCCCGTTCTTCCCCCACCCAGAACTTCCACAGGCACAGGAGCAAGGAGCTCGGCTGCAGGGAGAAGGGGCTCCTCCGAGGAAGCTCAGCCTGGGGAGTGGAAAGAGGCAGGGGGAGTAGACTGGGCTGGGTCCTAGGAAACTTCCCAGTCCCCCAGAGGCGCTCAGACTTATGGGACTGACTGAGATGCCCAGAACCTCTGGGCTGGACATGACCTCTATCTGCACTTCCTGGGTATGGCACACGAGGCTGCTTAGTACTTGATAGATGGTGAGTGCGACTGAGGATTTAAGGGTTTTGTTTTATTTCTTAAGTTTCTTAAGTAATTTAAATTTAAAAACTCGGGCTGGGAGTGTAGCTCAGTGGTGACAGCAAGCCTGAGGTCCCCGGGCTCAAGCCCGAACACCAAAACAAAAACAAAAACAAAACCCTAATAATTCAATTCTTGATACACGTGTACATGAGTGTTGGGACAACCAGGCTATGTGAACCTAGATCTCCAACAGTAAATTTGATGAACTATGGATCAAAATGTTTTTGATAAAAAATGTAACATCCAGTTGGGCACAGTGGCATATACCTGTAAATCCTAGACCCTGGGGAGGCTGAGGCAGGAGGAACCCAAGTTTGAAGCCAGCCTGGACAATTTAGTGAGACACTGTCTCAAAATTTTAATTTTTTTTTTTTTGGTACCAGGGATCGAACTGAGGACCTTGAGCTTTCGAGGCAGGCAGAAGAAAAAATTTAAGTTTTAAAAAGGGTGGGGGGTATAGTTCAGTGCTAAGAATACTAGATGTGTGAGGCCCAGATTCCAACCCCAGCACCACCAAAAAGGAAGGAAGGAAGGGAGGAAGGGAGGAAGGGAGGAAGGCAGGCAGGGAGGGAAGGAGGGAGGGAGGAAGGGAAAAACTCTGCCTGGGTTTTGAAAACTTAGTATGAAAATTGGTGTAAAATATCTTGTTAACAATTTTTATAGTGGTTATACAAGAAATGATCCTAGTTTAGATACATGGAGTTAAGTACTCTTGAAAAGTATTCTTTTTTTCCCCCCAGTACCAGGAACTGAACTTAGGATCTTGTGTTTGCCAGGCAGACATGGCACCTCTAAGCTACATCCCATTCCTGGCCCCTATGAAAAGTAGTCTTAAAGTTAATGTCAGATCTTTCTTCACGCCTTTTACAATGGAGCTATTCAAACTTAAAATGCCCTCAGCAGCTCTCCTTCTGGTTCTCCTGCACATCACACTGTGAGAACAAGGACCACAGAAGGTTACAGAGCAGAGGCAAGGTCCCACCCCAGAAAAGACAGCTGAGACAGGTCTGTGAGGGAAGAAGAAACTGCACAAGGCCCCTCTGTAGGTGGAGGGAGAAGGGGGGATCGAGTCCGCAGGCTAAGCAGGGAGAGCAGGGGGGTTCCCAAGATCACGGGAGAGTCTGTGAAAATCAGTTCTGCGTTAAAAATGCAATGAGCTGTGAAAAGTGGTTGGGTGTGCTGTCGGCTTGCTCTGCCCCCAGGCACAGAAAGGAAGGAGAGAGAGAGACCACATACAGTCGGTCACCACACAGCCAGGGGATGTGGCTCCCAGGTGGCTCCACACCTGTCCCCGCCCTTTGCTCTGGGACCAGCAGCCTTTCTCAGCTCTCCCAGCCAGGGACAACAGGGCCGCCTGCCCGCTGCCGTCACCGACGTGTGTGCAACACGTCAGGACCACACTGTCCCTGCCTGTTTGAGGAAGACAGACCCAGACCTGCCCACGCACTCTTAGGAAAATTGCATCACTCGAACAATTACAGGCCCCGAAAACACAGGCCGCGGGGGTCTCCGAGAGCCTTGCTTTTATTTTTAGTCAGTCACATAAACACATCTATAATTCTGAAAGAAATGAGCACCAGGCCTAAAGAGTAAAAACAAAACCGTAACCAGCTGGTTTGAAAGTTTTCTAAATTCCCTCAGGCCCTGAAGGCAGGAAATGCCACTACTGTACCTACTTTCTCTGCCTAGGCTGAGTCCTGTTTCTTTTTCTCTCCTTCAGTTTCTCTTAGGCTTTTTCCCTTGGGCTTCCCCTAAGGCACAGGAGGCCCGCTTACCCCTCCCCTCCTTACCATCCCTCAAAAGTGAAATCCTTGCTCCATCACCACACAAACGCATGCACGCACGCGCGCGCACACACACACACACACACACACACACACACACAGAGTTCAGGCCACCTGGGTGCTGATGAGGTCCTAGCACAAATTAGATTGAATGCTTCCCCTTTGTCTGGAACAAACTGGAAACTGCAGGAAAGCATTTCTGGTTTAGTGAAACAGCAAAGCTAGCTCTGTCACGTCAGAGTGCAGCCTTGGAGAATCCCTCCCTTAGCCCTGGGTGGCTGGGTGGTCACCGCACTGAACAAGTCAGGCAGTCCCTGTGGAGTGTGGGTTGTCATAGTAACTGGGAGCTTTGTAGGGGAAATAAAGGGATACACAAGAGGACTCCTTTCTCCCTCCCAGTTGTTTAACTTTGTCATTAGGACACTGCAAGTGGCGTTCTATTGCCCCTCTAAAGGAGGCCTCATTGAAGGAGATTATTGCATCCACTTTCCACCCACCCCCAAAGTCTAAGAAAACACAAAGGGTTGGGAACTTCTGTTTTCCCCATTTCAGAATGACTCTTTTATTAGCTATTTCCAAATTCAGAAAGAGGAATTCTCTAAATATGGAAAAGGGGACTGGGGCTGGCTTCACGGGTGCACGACCCAGGCAGCTGCCCGGACGGGGTCCTGCATTCAGAAGGTCCCTGAACAGGGGTCACTCCGATAGATGTCTCAGTGTTCTGTGCAGCCAGGCTCCTTCCACACATCCACACTGAGTGGGAGCCCCAAAAGTCAAGACAGCCAGATGTGACCGCTGGCCACAGGAGAGGAAAGGGAAGCAGCTCCGACTCAGACATGACTTTGACCCAGAAAACAGCCGTGACCAGCTATGTGACCTGGCCTGGCTTCCTCCTCTGCAGATAGCCTCGTGGGCCTCTGAGGTCCCTTCCAGGGGACACTTCTGTTCTCAAAGCAGCCAGGGAGGGGCCGATGGCCACCGAGGGCCTGTTGAGAATGCACGGTGTGTCAGACCAGGTGTCTGGGACAAATGGGTTCTCCAATCGCCAGCATTTATTCATTCAGCGTGTCTAGATGTGTCTTTGCCAGCTGTCAGGAATGCAAATCGACCGAGTCCTGTGTCCTGTGCATCCCGTAGTCTCCCCAGGGAAGTCCCAGTCCATTCCGTGATGACCACAGGGGCCACCTCCAGCAGAGTGAGGCTGCCCAGCCCAAGGGCTCTCCCGAATTTTGTCCTGGGGCCAAGCACGGCTGGTGGCCAGGTCCACCCTGTCACTGGGTCACTCCCTGGTGTCACCCCAGGAGCCCACATTCCAGAACCACGACCTGGGCCCAGCCAGTCAATATGCTGGATGCCTTGCTCAGGAAGGACAAGAGAGTGCCCGGTGATACCAGGGACTGGACATGGCCTGTTTAGGCCTCCACTGGGCAGCTACCTTGAGTCCAGAGGTTCTGAGCAAATCTACTACAGTATCCATCTCTCTCACAGCTGCCCCCACCTGGATTTACAAATGCAGTCAGAGGAACCCTCGAGGATGCTTCCTTTACGGTAACAGGATGTGAAATTCACCCCCTTGTATGAGTCACCAAGACTGGAATCAGGATGATCCTACCAATAAACAGTGAGGCACAGTGGCACATGCCTGTTAATCCTAGCACTCGGGAGGCTGAGGCAGGAAGATTGCTGCAAGTTCAAAGCTAGTCTGAGCTACAGGGTGAGACCCTATCTCTCTCACACACACAAACACACACAAATAAATAATTTAAAAAACAGGTGAAAAAACTGGGGCTCAAAGAGGTTAAGCTGCTTCTCCAAAGTCACACAGAGAGGCAGGAGAAAGGCTTGGATTGACAGCCGCTGAACTCCAGAGTTCTTTAGACCAAAGCATCTCTGCCAGGCCGGGAGGCAGGGAGACAATCCCTGGCCTCCTTCTGCACACGTGCCCCCAAATCTAACAAACCCACGGCAGGAAAGCACACGTGAACTTCCGAGGGGTCACTGCCTCCCCTCCGCCTCCCTAATCTGCAGCAGCTGTGAGCGCTGTACTTTGACACAGCCCAGATAGGGCTTAAAAGCATACCTGCTGGTTAATTTTGTCCCTGAGCTCTCTGCAATTCCAAATTCCGCTTCTTCCATAAACAAGGACCAGGGTCTTCATGATCAGTCAGGTGTGGATATTCACAAGGCTCTTCCCGCTCGTGGTTGGGAAGAGCTCAGAATTTCTCTGAAATGAAAGGGCCCCCTGGGCTGCTTAGGCAAAGCAGCTTTCCCAGGCAGCAGGGTCCCTTGTGAATGACAAGGGGACAGGGCAAGTTATTTGGTCTAGGTTTTTTTTTTCATTCAGTACTAAGGACTGAACCAAGGGCCTTCACACAGAGCTATCCATGCTCAGCCCTTTTTTATTTTTTATTTTGAAACAAGGTCTTGCTAAATTGACCAGAAGCCTACATGGATCATCTGGGCTCCCGGCCACGACAGTAAATGAACCTCGAGACATGGTGCTGCCAGGGAGAGGCCAGGCACAAAGGCTACAAACCCTGGGATGCCGTTTATGAGATGCCCAGAACTGGTAGATCCACAGAGATACACAGCAGATGGTTGTGACCAGGGAAGGCACTGAGAGGAAACAGGGTTCTCTAGGGGGTGATGAACATGCTCGGGAACCAGACAGTTGAGAGCTGCACATCATCAATGTATGAAACACCACCCAACTGTCTGCTTTCACATGCTTAATCTTAGCCAGCAGACACCTGTAATCCTAGCACTCCGGGAGGCTGAAGCAGGGAGATTACAAATTCGAGCCCAGCCTGGGCAATTTACCAAGAGCCTGTCTCAAAAAATAAGTAAGTAAATAAGGTTGGGGATGTAGCTCAGTGCCAATCCTAGGATCAATCCCCAGTGTTGCCAAAAAAAAAAAAAAGTTTATATTATGTGACTTATACCTCAATAAAAGAGAAACAAGACAAGAAGCCTGCTCTCGCCCACTTTAGGGAGCTCTCATTCACTCCTCCGCAGAGCTGTCTGCACAGTATAGAGGTCAAGGTGCAGAGTCTGGAGCTGGACGGCCCAGTTTCATGTCCAGGCTCCCCAGTGCCCCTTGGCCTGCCTTCAGTAGCTCAGTTTGCCAGTCTGTAAAACGGGCACACAGGCAGTTTCTTCCTCATAAGTAAGGCTCTGGGAGGATTAAATGAACCCACTTGTGCAACGTACCTGGCTAGACGTGGGACACACAAGGACTCAGCCTGGTACATGCCTGAAATGTCATGGGTCTTCACAGGTTGAGCCACCAATCCAGCCTGCCCGGGACAGAGGTTTCCCTGTTACCAGCCCTTTGGTGCTACATGTGGGCAAGTCCCAAGCCAAACAAGACAAGCTGATCACCCTGATGCTTCGATATTTGGATTTGGTTTTTGTTTTTTGTACTGGGGATCAAACTTGGGACCTTGCACTTGGAAAGCAGGCGGTGGAACCACTGAGCTAAATTCCCGGCCCTTCAATAAATATTTGTAGAAAACAGTATCTACGGGTTTAAAAAGGTCACCAAGGGGCCGGGGATTTAGCTCAGTGGTTTCGCCACCTGCTGCATAAGTGCAAGGACCCGAGTTTGATCCCCAGTACCCAATAAATAAATGAATGAATGAATGAATGAATGAATGAATGAATGAATAAAATAAAAAGGACACCAAGAAGCTGGTCGTGATGGTGCATGTCTATAATTCTGGCATTCTGGGAAGCTGAGGCAGGAGGATCTGCTTTTGATCTCAGATTGGGTAACTTAGCAACTTAGCTAGAGGCTGTCTGTGAAAAATAAAAAGTAAAAGGGGTAGGCATGCAGCTCAGTACAAAGGCCCTGAGTTCATTCCCAGCACCTGGTGGGGTGTAGCACGAGTTTGGGACAGAAACAGACAGGAGGAGGGGCCAGGGATTTAGCTCAGTGGTGCTGCCACCTGCCTCACAAGCACAGGGTCCTGAGTTCGATCCCTGGGCTCTTGGGAGTACCACTGTGCTCCACAGTAGCGTCCTGGGGGTCATCTAGGCGGAGGTCAGGTCAAGCTGTGGGTGGACACTTGAAGAGGGAAGTGTGGACGGGAAACAAGGCCTCATCTCCAAGCCCCAAGCGGGCTGCACTTCCTCTTGAGCAAGAGCTCAGCACTGTTCTATCACGGCCCTCCGCATCCATTCCCGGCTTGGAGCAAGAAGGCTGTGGGGCAGGGGCAGCAAGGTGCGACCCCTTCCTCCTCCAGCAAAGACAGTCAGCAGTGGAGAAGCAGAACAGATTCACTGAAGCCGAGTTTTACAAGACATGGGAGCCTCACCGAACACAGACCCACAGAGCCCAGAACCTGTCCACTCCTGTGCAATCAGCAACAGACTCCCGTGGCCCTCTGTGTGGCGGCTCCACTCTACCCCTGGTGTGGGTAGGGCCTCCAGGTGAGGGACCTACGGTCAGACGGGGGTGAAGAATTCCTCCAGGACCAGCTCCCCCACGGGAGGCGGGAGGGTAATTCCAGTTCTGGGTCCTATGACCCCGCTTGGGGAAGAAGAAAGAATTCTGTTTTCTAAGAAGGGCAGAGGGGTCAGAGAGGGCACAGCGCAGGAAGGTGGAGAAGGCCAGAGAGACCCCCACACCACCCAGCAAACTCAGAAATGGCTGTCACTCCATGCTGACACTGCCTTTTTGTGGGTGTCAGGTAAAGTCTGAGGCTCTGGCTTGATTGTACCCCAAGATACCACAAATGTCAACGACTCCTGCCGGCAGGTAACGGGTGGGGGCACCTCTGCAGGCAGCTCCACTGGCAGTGGCCACTCAGCACACAGAAGGTCTCCTCATTTGGCCCCGAGTCCTTCTGTGTCCCCAGGCGCCCAGGAAAGAAGGCCACAGACAGAGGAGCAGGGCCCAAGGTGAGCACTGTTCTCAACCCTGCAAGCAGCACCTAGGCCTCACCGCAAAAGCCCACCAGGAACCAGCCTGGGGGGAAACTGAGGCCACGGAGCTCGTGAGTCAAGGAGATGCCATGGTCACTGCCTGGTACCCAAGTTACCGTAGTACACGGGACTTTCAGATACACTGTGCATGTTCACTTCTCACTTAACACGGGCTGGGGGCTTCAGCCAGCAGTGCGCAGCATGGACGGAGGCCTGGCCTGCTGAATGCCTCGGAGGGGGCACAGAAGGGGAGTGAAAGCGGCAAAAGAGTTAGGGTGATGGAACATTAGGGTAAGTACTGTGTTAAGCAACAGAATCCCTGGGACGGAATCTCCTGGGTTCAAATCCCACCTCTGTCACTTCCAGGCTATGTGACCTGGGGCGAGCTGCTGAGTTCCTCTGGGCCTCACATTTCCCAGTCTGGAAAATGGGCCGATGACAACAGTACTTAACAGCTCAGGGGGCGGCAGAGAGAGCCATATGCCCAGAACACAGGGTACTCGGGATGCTGGAAAGGGTGGCTGGGATGGCTCACCTCAGAGAAGTGCAATGAGGCCGGGAGGGGGACCTGCCCAGTCACAAGGTGGCTTCACCACCAGGCAGGGAGACCCATGCACAGACCCTATCAGTAAACAGGCGCATATCTGTCTAAATCCCTACTGCCCGGGCCTCCCACAAGTGCCCCCAATGTGGCAGACAGGCAGCCCCCCCAAAATTACTCCACAGCCTGTGACTCTGCGAATGTCACCTTAAATGGTGGGAAGGACTTTGCATACAGGATCAAATGAAGGACCCTGAGATGGAGGTGACTCTGGATTATCCAGGGGGCCCAATGTCACCACTAAGGGACCTTGCTAGAGGCAATCAGGAGGTCGGAAAAGAGGTTAGAGCAGGGCCAGGGATTTAGCTCAGTGGTGCTGCTGCCTGCCTCGCAAGCGCAAGGTCCCAAGTTTGATCCCTGGTACCAAAGAAAGGAGAGATTAGAGCAAGCCCTGCCAGCTCCCAGGGACTCTGCACCCCTTTCCCACTTCGATTTCAAAGGCTCATAGCTGGAAGGGAATTTTCCTCTGGGACATTCATGCCTAGGCCTCCCTCCTATCTGACTTGGAGGAGACTGGACTTCGGACTGGAGCTGACCCTAGAACAAGTTTCAGCTTTGAGGCTACTGGGCTGGGATGAGTAAGCGGCATGTGAGACAGACCGAGGTGAGTTTCAGGAGGTGGAGCAGGAGGCTGTGGTTTAAATGTATCCTTTCCAGTCATTCTCACTGGCTTCTGTCTCTCTCCTTATCTCTTTTCCATCCAGGACAAAGTGAGGACACAAGACCCAAAGCAACTGCCAACACCTTGGTCTTGGACTTCCAGCTTCCAGTCCTGGAAGCTAGTAAATTTCTGCTCATTACAGATTACTAGTCTCAGGTGTTGTATCATAGCAGCAAAGGTGGACTAAGAGTATGGAGGAATTTTTTTTACTAATTCTGCAACTTTTCTATAAACCCGAAACTATTCTAACATCTTTTTTTTTGGTACCGGGAATCGAACTCAGAACCTTGTGTTTGCCAGGCAGGTGCTGCACCACTGAGCTAAATCCCTGGCCCAAAACTATTCTAAAATAAAGATTTTATTTAAAAAATCCCCACATCTGCTATCATTTTTCATCCATTCACATGGAAAAGAAAAAACCTCTGTTAGCACAGAGCCAGCCTGGACATAGAAACTCAGTGCTCTCGCCAAGTGCTAGCAGGAGGGTAAACTGAGGCTCACCTCTGGAGGCATCTGCCAAAATTTAATGTGCAGGACTCCTTAGGCCCAGGGAATCCAACCCCCACAGTGATCTGCACTGAGGATAACCACACACCAGCCTAGGGTGTCTTCACGACACTGTTGCTAGGGACAGGGGACGGGCAACAACTGTCCCAGCAGACACCCGCGTGGGGAAAGGGTGTGCAGCCACCAAAATGGAATGAGGAAGTTTCATGTGCGGAAATGCAGTCATCTCCAAGATATGCTGATGCATGAAAAAAGCCAGAACAGTGTTTACAGTAAGCCACCGTCTATTTATGTCCTATTTCTTCTTATAATAGGAATAAATATCCCTAAAGGATACACAAAAAAGACCCGTGGGTGTCTGCAGATCAGAAATAGGTGGACAGACATAGGAGGACGTGTGGGACGGACAAAAAGACAAACACTTCTGTTTGTCTTTTCTGTTGATCTCTTACATACAAAGACATTAAAGCTCTCTCTTTAGTTGAAAAAAGTCTCCTCCGCAAATCTCCCTGGCCTGGCCTCCCTCTCACCTCCCTCCATCTCTGGGGGCGTGACGTCACCACAGCCTTTTGTGCCCTGAACTGTGTCCCTGCCCTGCCTGGCCTCAGTCCCTCCCTGTTTGCAGAGTCATTAGAGGCTCGCCTTGCGGCCTCCACATCCGTGTTCCACATCCGCAGGTTCAACGAACCGAGGCTGAAAATACTTGAGGAAAAAAGTATGGGCACTGAACAAGTACAGACCGGTTTTCTGTTGCCGCTGTCCCCTAGACAATGCAGTGTAAGGACTAACTGCTTACCTACATGTACCTTATGCTATTGGCTATGAGAAACGATTCTCAGAAGCGAACTAGATTCGAAGCACAAGGAGGATGCGCGCAGTCTATGCAGGCATTATGGTGTCGGAGGGGTCCCGGATGTAGGTCCCCAAGGACGCCTAGGGGTAACTGCTGTCTGGGGAGAAGATGTTCTTCCCACCATGGCGCTGTCACGCCCAAGTTCATCCTGGTGGCACTGCGCTTCCAGCATTTTGTACTATGATTCTTTCTCACCCCGGAGGCTCTGAAGCCTGTGTGCCCTTGGGATAGGAAGACAGGGAGATGCAGGCGTAGACACAAAGGGAAAACTGAGTCTGAGCTCTAAGATTTGACTGTCGGAGGGGACAAAGGCCAAGCAGGAGAAGGGAGCAGTGAGGACAAGGTCCCAATCAGCGCCCCTGTGGGGCAGGGGAGCCTGGCGGGCCAGGAGGGCATGGTCGAGTTGCAGAAGCCTTCTCACCTTCAGGGGGGCACCAGGCTGGGCCTTCTGGGAACCCCACAAAGGGCTCTAGTTCAAGAACCAGAAGCTGGGGCTGGGGTGAAGCTCAGTAGGAGAGCACGTGTGAGCACGCGCAAAGCCCCCCCACCCCCAACCCAGCGGCCTAAGAGCTCCTCATGCCCCCGCCCTCCCAAAGAAGTATTCAACTCTTGCCAAGGAGAGTTCAGTTCCTAAAAATAAGCCTCCAAACCCAGAATACCAGGAAAAGCCACCCAACTGCTCCCGCTGGCGTAAACACACATCAAAGGCAGCGGGCGCAGGGCCCGGGAGTCTTCTTCGAGCACAGAAAACCACGTCTAACACACAAGCCGCGGCCTCCACGGCTGGCAAGGCTGCATTCCACAGCCTTTCTAAACAACCCCCCAAAAGATCTTAGCCTTTTCCTAAAATGAATCTCATATTTCCCTCTGCCTTTCTAGTCTGGGAGGGGAGAGGGGAGAGGAAAGAGGAAAGAAGAGGAGGAAAGGGAAGGGGGGGGATGGAGGGAGGGAGGGGTGCGCTCCCCTTCACTTTGGGGGTCCTGTACCATCCCAGCGGTGCAGCTACAAAGCTGCTGAGGCCTCCGCCCCCAGCTGAACCCAACGTAAAGGAACTTAACAGTATTGGGGCTCAGAAAATGAAGCTCCCAAGCACAGCTCATTGGCATGCTGAGCTCTCCTGCCTCTGCATGGGGGGGCTTTCTCTGGATCAGTCATCTGACGTGATACAGATTCTGCAGCAAGAACTCATACAGGAACCGTCATCATGACTCACCGCGGCGGGGGAGACCAAAGGTTGACACTTTGCACAGAAGGACTTTGTCCCAGGCTGCCACCTGTTCTACAGGCCCACTGTCTCCCTGTTCACCACCTCTAGGAGGTTCTAGATTTCATCTCAAGATGCCCCCACGCCTGTAATCAATCTGTAACCTTTTCTTCCTGTTCCTCTGGCCAGTGTGAGTTTATTCCATGGACTTGATGAATGGGAGCCCCTGGGGGTGTAGGCAAAGCTCCTGTCCCTGCAGAGCTCGCCAGGGGCTCCAGAGAGTGTGGCTCACAGATCTGGGCATCAGCCTAGAGACATTCTTCGTTCCTCCTGCCTTGGATTTGCTTGCCTCCTGGGCTCTGGCCAAATTCCAGATACTGCAGGCTAACTGTTGCCGCTTGGAAAAGGATGGCAACATCGGTCTTGCCTTTGGCAAGGTGTAGGGATCCCGTGCCATGAGCGCAGAGGCCCCTGGCATGCCCTCCCAGGCCTCTGCCCCAGGCAGGCTCCCACTCCACCCACCCTGACGATGCTCCCTGGCACCTGCTCCCAACATCTTCCTGTGCCAGGCAGTTTCCCTAGCAGAACCAAGGGATGTTCCTGGGGCAAGGGCTGTGCTGAGCTTCTCCGGATTCCCCACAGGGCCGGGGGAAAGCCCCTCACAGGACAGCTCCCCAGGCTGAGGGTCAGGTCCCCATATGACACCGATATCCTGTATGCAACAGGTATTTCTAGCAGGAGCTCTTCAGCAAGGTCCTTCTTCCTCGAGTACTAGGGACTGAACCTAAGGCCTTCCTTCACCCTGAGCTATATCCCCAGTCAATCTGGTTTTTTTGAGACAGAGTCTCACTAAGTCACTAAATTGCCCAGACCGAGCTCAAACTTGCAGTCCTCCAGCTTCAGCCTCCCAAAATGCTAGACTGCAGATGTGTACTACGACGCCTGGAAAAAATGTCTATTTTTAGGGTCTGGGATATGGCTCAGTGGTTGAGTACTTTCCTAGAATGCAGGAGATGCTGGGTTCCATCCCTCGAACTGCAAAAAAGAAAAAATTCTATTTTTTAAATGAGGAAAAAAGACAAATTCCAAATAATATAGGTAGATCATCCCCCTCCAGGAGGTAGAGCTTAATGTCTCCCCTCTCTCCTGAGAGGCTGGACTGAAGGCCTCTTTTAAAAAATAGTCTGCCATGCTTGGTGGCACACATCTGTAATCCCAACAATCTGAGGCTGAGGCAGGGGGATCACAAATTGGAGCTCTGCCTGGGCAATTTAGCAACTTTAGTGAAACCCTGATTCAAAATTTTTTTAAAGAAATTGAGGAAGGAAGTGCTGGGGCTGTAGCTCGTTGTAAACACAAGCCCCAGTAAGTACCATGTATACAAAAGTCCGAGGATGTCACTCCCCTGACCCCTGGATGGGGTGGGCTGAGACACTTCATCTCTGTGGTCTCTTCTCCAGAACCCACAACCCCTTGTAATCACAAGGAGGAATGTCACACAAACCCAAACTGAGGGACATTCTACAGACTCCTTGATCGTTGGGGTGGTGGAAAAGACAGAAAGTGTCACAGCCATGGAGCTGGGATGAGCCACTGACTGTGGACAGGATCCTGGCACAGAAAAATGGACATCACTGAAAACACTGGTGAGCTCCAAATAAAGAATTGAATCGTCACTTCTTTCTTTGACAAATACACGGCAGTGACTTAAGATGCCAACAGTGGGGAGGCTGAGTGGGGGGTGTAAGGGACTTTTCTGAACTAACTTTGCAACTTTCTGGGAAATCAAACATCATTCCAGGGCCCGGGATTTAGCTCAGTGGTTCCACCATCTGCCTTGCAAGGACAAGGTCCGAGTTCAATCGCAGGTCCAAAAAAAAGAAAATAGTGTGATGATTGATTGAGTCAATTTGAGTAAGAAAAGATCAAAGATCAACTAAAGTGGCTCCAGAATTCCACATCCAATTCCAGACCCACCCTAGGGAGGTCCCTGGCCCGGAGCGTGTAAGGGGACTTGAAGAAGGAAGGATCTGCTTCAGTTCCTTCAGAGGAGCTCCGGGCTTCGTCTTCACCTTGGCCCTCATCTCCTGGCCTCCACCATACTCTTTAGCTTCTGTTGCTGATCCTTCAGCCTTCCAGCCCATCCCAGACCCAAAGGCCTCCTGATACAGGACACTGCAGTGCGCTCCTGACCTTTGAGTGGATCCTTTGGTCTCATGTGCAGACAGACTCTCCGCACGCTTCCACATCCGACTCTGTGAGTGGCCACTGTAAGCCAATCTTATAAATTCTTATACTTTTGTGTATCTTGTTTCTCTAGTAAACACTGACTGGTAGTTTAGGGGCTGGGGATACAGCATGCTAGTTCATGCTTACCATGTACAAGGGCCCTAGGTTCAATTCCTAGCATCAATGAAGAAATATAAAGTCTGGCCAGGGATTTAGCTCAGTGGTTCCGGCGGCTGCCTTGCAAGTGCAAGTTCCCAAGTTCGATCCCCAGTACAAAAAGAAAAGAAAAAATATAGAGTTTAAATATTTCCAACGATCACATTAATTTTTATGAATAACCATAAGGGAAACGATAGGGTGAACAATAGGCAACTCTCACCCAAAAGCACTCAAGCTCCATTTAAAAATGCAACATTTTAAAAATACTTCAGCTTTATAAGTACTTTTTAAGTATATTCTGGCTAAATATCAAAGATTAAGGTGAGGGAGTAGAGGAAGGTTTCTAACATTTCTAACTGGGGAGGTGGGAAAGACAGAAGGAAAAATTTGAAAATGATACCCCGGAATTTCAGCAAAAGCATGGTTTCCAAATTACCTCTCAAGGCGGAATGGACTTTTTTCCCTGTCCACAAATCCTCACTCCCTTTAAGAAGTAGATTTCAAAACTCTAACAAAGTAGTTTTAAACCACATGTAGGTGGTAAGTGCTGCTAAAAATACACTGCCCCTGTACAAAACTATTTTCTAGGTTTAGGTATCAGATCAACACACAAAAGGGCAAGGCCTTTGGGGAGATAAAGAGGCTTTTTAATCACCAGTTTAATCCTCTAAAATCAATTCTTCCAGAAAGAAAAAGAATATTCAATTCTATTCCACATCCACAACCCTGGGCCCCAGAAAAGAAACACTAAGAAGAGTTCCATGAATATGTAGATCACAGAAATGACCACAAGAAAAAAGGAATTCCTTCAGCAAAAGGAGGGCACTCACATGCAAATTGTCAGCTTGCCCCAGAAAACAGCCTAGTTTGTAAACAAGACTGAGAACCAGCTGGGAAGGCCAAAAAGGTTTGGTCTAGGGCCCCGGGAGACAGAAATGTTCTTTACAATAATGTAATATAGTGGATCCTGACTACCGTAAACCCTAAGGAACTAGCCAACTTCCGCATTTATAAAGTCAAACATTGCTTAAAATTCTTAACCTAAGGGCTATTAAGCCATTTTGCAACACTGTCGTAATAGAACTGACCCTACCCACAGCTGTAAAAAATGTCCAAGGAGAATGATGCTTCTTAAACCCTAAATGGTAAAGAGGAAGGGTTTAGACCAAAGCGGAAAGTGGGACCTCCCTCCAGTCCTCTTTGAACATGGAAGCGAGAAATTGCAAGCCAAGCCAAGCCAAGTTACTGACCCTGAACAAATTCAAATTCAGTATACCTGGAAAAAACACAGAAGCTTGAAGTATTTCAGAAAAATGTTTTCAAATTACATCTTCTGAATTCAGCGTGTTTCCGCAGGGCCACTTGCTCCACAAGTTGAAGATAAAGTTACCACCAGCTCAAAGCCAGGTTTCAAAATGGCAGAACTACAAATTACACTGATTGGAGGAATGCAATGGAAAATGCTTCCATCCACAGCTGAGTTGCTCTCTACAATCAGAGAAAGCCATTCCCGCCGGATTCCTGGTGAAACCACATCCCCACTTTGTAAATGAATGATGGCTTTTGATGAAACCACAGAGATCATTAATAAGCCTGTGTCAGGATACCAAATTGTATGTACTCTGATTTCAATTACAAAGAAAACAGGCAGCGAGAAAAGACAAAAGCCACCCAATAAGCAAAGTTTGTGCTCCTGTGATGAAATTATGCCTGATTTTCCTCTGTCTTCCATACTTTCTGAAATAATGCTATTTTAAAATAAGTTTAAGATATCAGTACATGGTCTATGAATAACCTCACTGGACCCAAGATTAAGGCAAGTCGACACTGAGCCCTTAAATTTACCCAAGGAACACTGCCAATTCTAAGGCTCCAAGAGCTGAATAGCTGACATTCGCCATCATTACTTTCTCTGAAGCCTTGGGCTTTCCATCCTGGTGAATTAACTCCCTACAAGGGAGAGAGCTAAGTGAAGAATTGCTACCACCCACGCTCCCTCTGTAATTTTTTTTTTTGAGATGCCTTAAACCTGTTAGGCCACAGAAAACGTACCCCAAAGTGTGGCACGTGGCATGCGTGGGCCCTGAACGGGAGGACACAGGCAGGGCAGCAGAAGCACAGGCTCTCTGACCTCCTCCCGCTTCCTCTGCCCCGCTGAGGCAGTCTGAGAAACTAGGGTTCCTCTTCCCTGGGGCAGAACACAGAAACCAGACCTTCTCCCCAAAGCCACAGGGCCTGCAGCTGGCACTCCAGCCTGCCCGCCTCCCTCCCACCTGGAGCTGGCCCCGGGGGAACTCTTCTCTTCACCCACCGTGTCTGACGGGGGGTCCTAAGACCCTCACCCAAAGGCCCTGCCACACCAGGACGAAGGAAGGAGCCTGACCCAGGGGGAAGGAGGAACCCTGGCCGACAGTTCACACCCTGGGTCGCATCACATTTCCACATGGTTGTCCATCCCTCATTGGATATAAACATAAAAATGAACAGCTTTTCCTGGGGTTTTGGGTCCTCATTGCAGAAGACTTCTAGGGCCTGTAAAATTTTGTTTAAATCAACCTTTTATGCTTTTCTATAGTTGATTTGTCTTTGTTACAGAAGTCTCTTGGCAGCATGGAAGAAGTCACACCTTTCTGCTCCTAACAAGACCAATAAAATCAGACACAATTCTTCTACTGAATTAATCTATGGCCCAGGGACAAATTCCATTAGATCCAAAGGTGTTATGGCCTCTGTCCCGAGCATCACCAAAGGCTTAAACAATAAAATAAAATAATGAAGACCCAGGAAAGTACCACTTGAGGCCTGGGGATTTAGCTCAGTGGTTCCGGCGCCTGCCTCACAAGCACAAGGTCCCAGTTCGATCCCTGCTACCAAAAAAAAAAAAAAAAAAGTACGTACCACTTGACCCCAAATAACAATTTTTTTTTTGGTTTTTGCAAACAGGGTCTTTCTATGTAGTTCAGGCTGACCTTGAACTCACTATGTAGCCCAGGGTGGCCTTGAACTCATGGAGATCCTCCTGCCTCAGCCTCCAGAGTGCTGGGTTTACAGGCGTGTGCCACCATGCCCATGCCCGCCTCCCAAATAACAATTCTAAGGCAAGTTAACACCAATCAAGCCATGTGTCCAGAGATATCAGAAACATGTGGGATAAACAAATGAAGAATCAAGGAAGTCTATTTCTTTTTTTTTTTTTTTTTTCTACCGGGAATCAAACTTGGGACCTTGGGCTTGCAAGGCAGGCGCCATAACCACTGAGCTAAATTCCTGGCCCTAAGGAAGTCTATTTCCCTAGCAAGATAGGCCACCGGGCTTCATGGGCCATTTTCATGATAGTAAAAACAAAAACAATGAGGACAAGTCACAGTGCCTCAGCTCTAGGACTTCCTCTTATGGATTCTCATTTTTTTCACTCTCTGGGTAGCTATGAGATTCATCTTCCAGATAATTTTATGTCCCTGAGGGGCCATGGCCCTTTTCATCTCTGCTCAGCAGGGATGATCACATTAAGGGCAGCAAAGCACACAATTGATCATCTTGAAAATCAGCTTAGGCTGGAGATGGCTTCTGGCTCTTTCTTCTCATAGGGTTCCTTTTACTGACCTTGGCCTTGGGCCTGGCTATGCCCCCTCTGCAGTTTTGCCAAGTGAGACCCGTCTGTTGGTTTGAAAGTGTTGACACGTACTTCA